ACGTTGGGGGGACTCCTTTGGCACAGGTGCAAAAAAAACTGTAAAAAAAAAAAAAAAACCCCCTCTCTAAAAAAAAAAAAAAAAAAAAAAAAAAGAAAAAAAAAATTAGCCAAGCATCCTGTGTTGTCCTAGCTACATGGGAGGCTGAGGCAGGAAGATTGCTTTAGCCCAGGAGTTTGAGGTTGCAGTGAGCTATGAAATCATGCCACTGCACTCTAGCCTGGGTGGCGGAGCAAGACCTTGTCTTTAAAAAGTAAAATTAAATTGAAAAGCAGTCACTTACATTGGCCACTACAGTGGGATGCTTGGATCCATTTTTGCAGCTCGAAGGATGATCTGTTTTTTTGTCTGAGTCCAGACTTGACTGTGGTCTTTGTTGTCTGGATCTATGATAGGTCCAGCTGCCTTGTCTGCTGTTGGTGTTAAGTGAAATGTTTATGTTCAACAGGAGAACACAAAGCCCAGCTATAAGGGTCAGGCCAGGCCACTTCCCAGGGCCAGAGCTGGCTTTTTCTTTCTCACCAAGCAGTTTCTAATAACTTACATGTTTCAAATACATAATTTACCCAAACTGCAGAATAATCTCATTTTCTAAATCTACAAAGTAAATACCCATTTTACTTTGTTTAAAATTATAAAAAACATTAAACATAGACTATCATTTTAGACTATGATAGTCTAGTACACTATCATTTAGAGGAGGCCCAGACTTCGTTCCAAATGGGTTGACTTACCAAATAAGCAGATAGAAAGTCAGGTAAAATATTTACCTCCAGTATTGACACATAGTAAATGTTTTATTTCTCATGCCCTGAGTTCTTAAGAAACTACTATTTAGGATCCTGGGAACAAAAACCACTTTTCATAACCACATCAAATATTGCTAATTTATTTCTTTTGTTAGATTCACTGATTTTTAACATTAAAAATGACTTATATTCTTTACAAATTAAAACATTAGATCGCAAATGAAAATATGCTCCAGACATCTACAGTTTTCTCCTTTTCTTTATACTCTACTAAATACATAAAAAAATTCTTTTAAAAATAAAAAATATAGTCTCATACCACCCTCTACTTCCTTATGTCTCTGGATCCCTGGTAAAACAGCTGGCAGCCTTTTCTGTTTCCTTAGCAACCATGTCATCATTCAGTTGGCCTGACAACACTTTGGTTTAAAAAAAAAAACAAAACCACAGACAGCAAATGTTTGGAATTTTCATTTCTGAGGATCCATCCTCTCCTAAGTGCTTTTGCTTTTTACAAATTTTGCAATGAAAAAACCTATAGAGTCCTTATTAGCCAGCTGCAACATGTCTTCTCTTCTGGTCTCTCTCAGAGAGTCTATGTCAGTGTCTGGTAATGGCACAGCCGATGGATCAAATCGCTGCAGCTGCTTCAATTGTTCACAAGAGAGGCCAGCTCCCCTCATTCCTTCTCCTCCAATCTGTGGTTTCTGTTTGGAGAAAGTCAATCAATATGGATGAACATCCTGTAATTAGCAAGTATGCCTGCTACAATTTAAGTTAAAAGACAAAGTGGATTATAACAACTACAGCTTCCAAAAATAAAAAAATGAGTAAATGCCTTTTATTCAGGTAGAAAATACATGCTGCTTTCCAGACAGTCAAGTGGGAAAGCAAGACTATGTGTCACCTGATGAACAAATACCCTGTTATTACATGATTATCAAGCACTGTGACATCACCAAAGGCCTGTGCTTAGTAGCTGGAAACACGTGGACTCAAACTGCAGCTCTATCACATTTTAGCTGTGTGACTTTAGGTACTTTTACCTAACCACATTTCCTCATCTATTAAGGCTTAAATTAAGAAGGTGGTATCATACTTGGCATATAGTGGGCACTCAGTAAATGGAGCATTATTATCAATAAAGCAGCAGAGGTCAGGCACAGTGGTTCACACCTGTAATCCCAGCAGTTAGGCAGGCAGATCACCTGAGGTCAGGAGTTCCAGACCAGCCCTAGCCAACATGGTAACCCCCTTCTCTACTAAAAATTCAAAAAATTAGCCAGGCACGGTGGTGCACGTGCCCAGCTACTTGGGAGGCTGAGGCATGAGAATTGCTTCAACCCAGGAGGCAAAGGTTGCAGTGAACCAAGATCATACCTGGGTGATCCAGCCTGCGTGACAGAGCGACACTCCGTCTCAAAAAATGAAAGAAAAGAAAAGAGAAGGAAGGGATATTAAATAAACAAATAAATATTTAATTTTTAAAATATTTATTTAATAAATAAATTTATTTAATAAATATTATTTATTTCTTCATTAACACCCTGTGTTTACCACCATGCTTCAGGGGAGCAGAAGGGGGAGAGGGAGGGGAAGAAGAAAAAGAAAAACAAAAGAAAGCAACAAATACAATTCAGCTAAGAAAAAGTAAAGAAAGCAAAAGGTAAAATTCAGCTTTATTCAACATTTTCCAAAACTGAAAGGTAGTCTTTAGGCATCTAAGGTACCTCTCTCTGACCCATACTAATTGGATGATAAAAGTTTTCTTTTCTCATTTTTACATGTACTAGAAAAACAAACATTAGAAAGGGATACATAATTTAAGGCTATATCAATTAGTTTAGAGGAATCATAAGGCCTTGAGTGATACTTGCAAACTTCTGAAGAAGATCTATAATCCTAACTTAAGCCACCATTTCGCAGACAATTATTCATATGTTAATGAAGACAGTTTTTCAGACATACATAAGTAAACAGATCATTTATTATCCCATGGGGGTCAGGGCAAAACTTCCCATCTCTTTTAGGTATATATTTTAAGTATGTGTGTATATTTCCAAGTGAATTCAGAAGTCTTCCTTTCATCTACAATGTAATTATCTTAATTTCTGGGTCTGGAAACCATCTCTGAATTGTTTTTATTTATGTATTCTCATTACCTAATTTCTGCATAGAAAGGTACTAAAATTAGATGCTCAATGTATCTGAATGTGAGAAAGCACTATTACAGGTTTAAACTTAATCCCAAATGCTTTTCTAATAAAGATCATAACGGAAAGTTGCCGGGCTCAGTGGCTTGCGCCTGTAATCCTAGCTCTTTGGGAGGCCGAGGCAGGCGGATCACAAGGTCAAGAGATTGAAACCATCCTGGCCAACATGTGAAACCCTGTCTCTACTATAAAATACAAAAATTAGCTGCGCATGGTGGTGCACACTTGTAGTCCCTACTCCCTACTCGGGAGGCTGAGGCAAGAGCATTGCTTGAATCCGGGAGGTGGAGGTTGCAGTGAGCCAAGATCATGCTAGTGCACTCCAGCCTGGCGCGTGGTGACAGAGCAAGATTCTGCCCTGCGCCCCACCCCCCACAAAAAAAAACAAAAAACCACAACAGAAAGTTACAGTGTGTTAGGTAAAAAAAAAAAAAGGACAAGAAAGCTTTTTAAATACTACGCATTTTATACAATAAGCAATCATCTGGAAGCACTTTTTTCCCTTTAGGCTGGTCTTCTGATATCTCACAGTTGTGAAAGCTCATTTGAGCTTTGATGTGACATGAGAGAAAATGCTCAACATTTTCCACATCAGAGAAATACAGGACTGGGAAGGAAGAAAAAAATCTTTTTAGAAGAAAGGTGCTGAGTAACATGAATAGTTACAAGTGGAGTAAACACTTAATAAAAATACTCCCAAGCTCTGTGCCATTTTAACACAATGGCAAGGAATAAAGAAAAGAAAAACTTTGTCAGGGCATGCAAATTATTGGCAGTCTAAAATGGATCTAATTAGACAAGCATTCTCATGTATTACAGTGTTCATTTTGGAAATAATTATTTATTTCTTCATTAACACCCTGTGTTTACCACCACGCTTCAGTTTCTGTGATTTATCTTGTTACACAGAGAAAAATGAAATTCCTCCTACCTGGGGCTGAAGCTGAAGACAAGGAAATTTTGTGAGGGCCCAGGCAACTTGCTCTTCATTTTCAGCCAGTGTTATAGTGCATGTGCTATAAACCAGCACACCCCCTGGCTTCAGCAGCTGAACTGCCTAAAGAAAACTGTGATCAGACCACACACAGCACAAGACCAAATAAACATCTGAATGAATTTCATAGCATAAGCTGTATCTTTCAAATGTTTGGGATAAATAAAATGATGTTCTATGTGACAAGGATTTCTTCTGTAATTATAGTACACAAAAGCAATACTTGCATCCAGACTAGATGCACTGCATTATCCTGGAGCTGTCATACTCCATATGGACCAAGACTTCCCCAGGTACAATCATCCACCTTCATGCCTTTAGATACTATTTTTTTTAATGCTTAAAATTCACCAATTTATATTTTTTAGGCCAGACCTCCTTGTTAAATTCCCTACTTAAACGTTCAGTTGCCTTCTTAACATTTTGTATTCTCACTTTTTTAAATAGAGATGAAGTCTCACTGTTGCCCAGGCTTGTCTTCAACTCCTGGCCTCAAGCATTCCTCCCACCTTGGCCTCCCAAAGTGCTAGGATTGTAGGCGTGAGCTACGGGTCTGGCCCTTCTCAACATTTCTATAATATTATCAAACTTCACATATCCCAAAATGAATTCCTATTTTCCCTCTGAAATCTACTTCAGAAGTCTTCCTATCTTTCCAGAATCTCAGGTCCCAAACCTCAGTTTATCCTTTATGCCTCTTTTTCTGACTCCCCAACCATCAGCACATTCTATTGGCTCTACCTTCAAATTATCCCCAAAATCTGGCCACTTCTCACCACTTCCACTGCTAACACTGTGGTCCAAGCCTCCACCTTTTTTCTAGATTATTGCAACCACCTCCCACTTTGTCAGCCTGCTTTCTTCCCTGCCCTCCTTCAATCTAGTCTCAGTACAGCAGCCAAAGCAGTGCTTTTAAGCTTGTCCCTTCTCAGCCCCAAGCCCCTCACATGTCCTCCATGATCACTTAGAGTCAAAGACAAAGTCCTTACAGAGGCCTTTGAGGCCAGACAAACGAGTTTCTTGTTGGCTCTCTGACCTCCTCTTGTATACCTCTTACCCTGGCTCATTCAACTTCGGCAACATCAGTCTCCTGCTGTTTCTGGAATACACAAGGCACATTCGCACCTCAGAATCTTTGCAGCAGCTGGAAAAGCTCTCTTAATTCTCTGTACTGCTTACTCCTTATCTTTGCATGTATGTCACGTTCCCAACCACTCTGTAAAACTGTAACTACTCCAATCTAACACTCCTATTCCCACCTTCCTTTAGCTAGCTCCATAGGGCCACAGCGTTATTGCCTTCTAATATACTATAAAATTTATTTAGGGCCGGGGGTGGTGGCCCACGCCCATAGTTCCAGCACTTTGGGAAGCCGAGGTAGGGAGATCACAAGGTCCAGAGATCAAGACCATACTGGCCAACATGGCATGTGCCTGTAGTCCTAGCTACTCGAGAGGCTGAAACAGAGGAATCGCTTGAACCCGGGAGGCAGAGGTTGCAGTGAGCCGAGATCGCGCCACTGCACTCTAGCCTGGGAGGCAGAGCGAGACTCCATCTCAAAAACAAACAAACAAAAACCAAAAACAAAAACTCATTTATTTCCTCCCCTAGTTAGAAACCTCGTGAATAAGGGCGTGGAAACTGTCTACTTTCTCACTGCTGTACTGTCAACATCTAGAATAGTGCCTTGCATATAGCAGGTGCTCTATGAATATTTTTTGAATAAATGAATCAGGAGATAAGGTGCTATGCTAAAACGGATTTGTCTCAAATACCTAAAGTTCAACTTTTTAAGCTCCTAATTTTTCAAATTTTAATGGAAATCTTTAAAAACAGAGTATACACACTTGTGCTTTTTAAACCAGAGTACACTGACCAAAATTTAAACTTTGTTACTATGTGCCAGTCACTCTAATACACTTTACATGAATTCTTCTCCACAAATCCTTGTAACAACCACAAAGCAAGGTGACTATCACCAATGAGGTATTCCTAGCAGGTACAGCTGTTATCCTCACTACTCAGATACAGAAAGCAATGTACCTAAAGTCCCTTATGTGGCGCAGCCATGGCTCAAGTCAACATGTGTCTGAATCTAATGTCCACATTCTCAATTTCTTTCCATGCCAAATAGCACACCTGCTATAATCTCAAGATCTCTCTCACATACTGTCAGCTTTTCTTTCTCATTGAGAACTTTCATCTACTCCTAGCAGCCTTTTAAAATTTTTTGCTATGACCTAAAAAGAACAAAAATCCAAGTCCTTTATAGAAGTATCCTAATTTTATTCTCAAGTCAAAGTGGGTTTCGGCTATAAGTAAAGCTTCCTTTTTGCTGCTTGCTGTTTTAATTCAGAGGATGTGTTCTTTGAAGACTTTATAGAAAAAGAAGTTAAATAATCCACAACCAGTGCTACCTCTGTGTATGAAAGGAAACACCAACAGAGTTGAATAGGAATGTACTCAAAGACAACTTTAGAGACTAAATAATTATAGAACATCCATTGTTGTTGTAGCCTTGTATTTTGGAGGGATGGGGGGGAAATAATGAATTCATCTATGATCAAACACTGTCTATACTCTCTGAAATCCACTGAGTCATTTTTCACAAGACTAGAAGAAATCCTCAAAATGTTCTATCAGGGCTTCTTCTTAAAGTACCAGAGACAAGTTAAACTGGTAAAGTTTTTATGGTTCTCCTATACTCCTATATCCTACGGTGGCCACTGTCTCTTCCTGCTTTTATCAATGAGTTTTGCTTCCTATTGGACTTTCTTCCTCTAAAGATGACCCAAGAAGCCTTTTTTTTTTTTTTTTTCTTGAGACAGAGTCTTGCTCTTTTGCCCAGGCTGGAGTGCAGTAGTGTGACCTCAGGTCACTGCAACCTCCGCCTCCCAAGTTCAAGTGATTCTCCTGCCTCAGCCTCCTGAGTAGCTGGGACTACAGGCACATACCACCATGCCTGGCTAATTTTTTGCGTTTTTAGTAGAGATGGGTTTTGCCATGTTGGCCATCACTCAAACTCCTGAGTGATCTGGCCGCCTCGGCCTAACAAAGTGCTGGCATTACAGGAGCAAGCCACCACACCTGGCCAAGAACTCTTTTTTTTTTTTTTTTTAAAAAGAGTAATTTATTTTATATCTAATTGTTGACAGCAATTAGTAACTAGAAGTTGACAACTCAGTGACCTTTTTTCAAATAGGGCAGAATATTTGAAATTTATTAAATGTCTCAGTGAAGAAATTCTACTATTGCCTGTATATCTTAAAAGTGAGTCAACTTAAAGGAAAGCTTCCTATATTTAAAACTAGGTCTTCTTAGTTATATTTGTGTGTGTGTGTGTGTGTAGTAAAATATATATAACATAAAATTTATAATTTTAAGTCAATAATGACATTCAGTACAGTCACATTGTTGGGCAACAATCACCACTATCCACCTCCAGAAGGTTTTTCATTATCCCAAACTGCAAGCGTGTACCCACTAAACAACAACTCCTCAATCTCCCAGACCCACAATGCCTGGTAATATCTGTTCTTCTGTCTCTATGAAGTTGTCCAGTGACCCCATATAAGCAAAATCATATAGCACTTTTCCTTTTGTGTGTGGCTCATGCTACCGAACATAATGTTTTCCAGGTTCACCCATGTTGTGCATGTATCAGAATCTCATTACCTTTGAAGGCTGAATAATGTTCTATGTATGGATATAGCACGTTCTGTTCATCCATGTATCTGTCAACAGACTCTTGGGTATTGTAATGAATGCTGCTATGAAGATCGCTTTCAGTGGTTTAAATATCAAACTAGCAAAAGTCAACTTTCTTTCACAGCAACAGACCATCACATACCACAGTGAAGAGTTTTCGCTGTAATGGCTGATATGAGGCCACTTCCTTCAAAGACCAAGTACAGGCCATGTTTGGTCTCTGTCCCATTCCACTACAGGGTGCATCCAGAAGAATTCGGTCAAAGGTTTCTGGTAGAAACGGAGGTTCCCCTATAAACACAATTATAAACATATTTACTATGTGCCATACAGGTTTAGACTAGAAAATTCCTGAGATAATCAGGAATTTAAAATCATAATCTAGAATTTAAAAAAATTTCTCCCTTTAATCATGTAGTTAATTCTGACTTATACCTAATATATATTTGATGTGATAGAAAGGTTAAAAATGTAGTTATAGTGGGAGTTATTCTGTTGATACAGTACAAACCAAGGCCTAATCACACAAGACCTTGTACCATAAACTTCTGAAGCCACAGTTAATCAAAGCTAGGACATGGAATTAATTCTAGTGGTTCTGGAAATGGATACTTCTCTTGGTAATTCCTATTGAAGACAGCCCCAGAGAAAAAGCCTGTTCAGTTGTAGGGAAACACACTGGTTCTGGTGTTCTTCAGTCTCCTTAGTTTCTGTGGCCATCAGAATGGCTATGGTCTAAGAATGGGTAGAATGAGTCAGTACCCTCGTTGATTCAATCTTCCACCAAGTTTTTCTTTGCATTCACCTGAATAATTTTCTTCAAATTCTGATCTATTTAATGTTATTGCAGGAAGTTGTGAAATTAAGTGGTCTGCTTACATTATTTATGCTGTCTACCTGCAAGCAAGATATGGTTCCTGATTCCTTTTATCTACTTATTTACTTTTGAGACAGAGGCTCACCCTGTCACGTTCTAGGCTGAAGGGCAGTGGCGTGAACTCGGCTGACTGTAACCTCTGCCTCCCAGGTTCAAGCGACTCTTGTGCTCCAGCCTCCTGAGTAGCTGGGACTACAGGCATGTGACAGCGCACCCAGCTAATTTTTGTATTATTTAGCAGAGACGGGGTTTCCATGTTGGCCAGGTTGATCTCAAAGTCCTGGCCTCAAGTGAGGCCCACACACCTCAGCCTCTCCAAGTATGGCTGCTTATATTTAAAGGTGGTTAGTATTCTGCAGGACTGGCAGCAACATTACAAACCTCACTCCAGCCTCACCTTCTGCTTTTCTTTGATTGCAAAGCTGTTAAATGGAAGTGATTACCAATCAAACCCACCTCTGTCTGTAACCATCTTTGCTTTTTACCTACTGTCTAGAAGAAATTCTTTTCAAAGTAAGCAATTTTTTTTTTTTTTTTTTTTTGAGACGGAGTTTCACTCATGTTACCCAGGCTGGAGTGCAATGGCGCGATCTCGGCTCACTGCAACCTCCGCCTCCTGGGTTCGGGCAATTCTCCTGCCTCAGCCTCCTGAGTAGCTGGGATTACAGGCACGCGCCACCATGCCCAGCTAATTTTTTTTTTGTATTTTTAGTAGAGACGGGGTTTCACCATGCTGACCAGGATTGTCTCGATCTCTTGACTTCGTGATCCACCTGCCTCGGCCTCCCAAAGTGCTGGGATTACAGGCTTGAGCCACCGCGCCCGGCCGTAAGCAATTATTTTTAAGGTCTGTGACCCGCCTTGGCATCCTAAAGTGCTGGGATTACAGGCGTGAGCCACCACACCCGACCAGAATTTTTTACACACATAAATATTGACTATTAAATCTAACTGTTGTTGCATTCTATTATCTTTGCTTTCATGTGTTAAAATCTTCTCTACTAAAATATCAACACTCATCTATATCTGCCTCCAGTTATTCTCAGTTTAAACTCTTGATACTATTTAACCCATCTTGAACTTACTTTTTTTTTTTTTTTTTTTTTTGAGACGGAGTTTCACTCTTGTTACCCAGGCTGGAGTGCAATGGCACAATCTCGGCTCACCGCAACCTCCGCGTCCTGGGTTCAGGCAATTCTCCTGCCTCAGCCTCCTGAGTAGCTGGGATTACAGGCATGCGCCACCATGCCCAGCTGATTTTTTGTGTTTTTAGTAGAGATGGGGTTTCACCATGTTGACCAGGATGGTCTCGATCTCTTGACCTCGTGATCCACCCGCCTCGGCCTCCCAAAGTGCTGGGATTACAGGCGTGAGCCACCACGCCCGGCCGAACTTACTTTTCTATATGGTCCTTTTCCCTCTGCCTCTTCGTGTGCACGTGTAAGCCCACTTGCCCAACTCCTGAGATCTTATTAGAAAGCTAACGGGGGGAAGATCCAAGATGACTGTTTAGGAACAGCTCGGAGTTGCAGCTCCCAGATAAAGCGCAGAGGGTGAGTGGATGCCACATTTTTATTGCCCACGGACCAGGAGATTCCCAGGTGGAGGTGCCCAGCGCCGCTGTTGTGGCTGGCGCAGTTCTTTTGGTCGGTGGGGCTGCTTTGCCCTGCGCAGCTGCTCTGTCGGCACCCTGGCCAGCAGTTCTCCATACAAAATACACTGGTCCGGGTGCCCTTTTGGCTAGCGATTGGAGACCAGGGGAAGTCGCCCATTCATCTGATGAAAGAGGGGACTGAACAGGGAGCCAGGCAGGAGATTCCTGGGCAAAAAAAAAAGCACCAGGAATCTCAGCGCCGCTGTTTAAGCCGGCACAGTGAGTCGCTGCACAGGAAATCAAACAGATCCCGGCGCCGTTTCAACAGGTGACGGGGATAGAGTCGACTATTCAACTAAAAAAAGAAAAAAAAGGCTCAGAGGCAGGGAGCCAGGTGATCAGGCTCGGTCCCACCCCCACAAAAGAACAGCAACTCTCTGGATTGAGAGTTTTACAGCAAGCGCAGCTGAACCCGGGACGGTCCAGCTCTGTGGGGGAGGGGCGTTCGCCATTACAGAGGCACTCCACCATGACGGAGGCCATCGCTGAGGCAGCCTACCATTGCTAAGGCAACCCGCCATTGCTGAGGCTGCCTGTCGTTGCCAAGGCAACCCGCCATTACAGAGAGAGTCCGCCAATACACAGGCGGGCCACCATTGCTGAGGCAGTTCTAACTTCACCCATATAAACAAGACTGCAGGGAAGTTCACAGGGCGGCTGGGCAGAGACCACAGCAGCTCAGCAAAGCCTCTGCAGGCAGACTGTGACCAGGCTGCTTCCCTGCTGGGCAGGGCAGCCCTGAAAAAAAAAAAAAAAAAAAAAAAGGCAGCAGCACAACAGAAACTCATAAATAAAGCCCTAACTCCCTGGGACAGGGCAAGTGGGAACAAAAAGCGGTTTATGAGTTCTGCTGCAGCAGGCCTAAACGTACCTGCCCAGCAGCTCTGAATGAACAACGGAGCTCACAGCTTAGCACTTGAGCCCCTATAAAGGACAGACTGTCTCCTCAAGCAGCTCCCTGACCCCTGTATATCCAAAGAGTCACCTCATAAAGGAGAGATCAGATTGACATTTGGCGAGTATCCTTCTGCGACAAAGACAGCAGAAGAAGAAACTGGTATCAACCTAACCCTTACTGTTCTGCAGCTGCTGCAGGCGATCCCCAGGCAAGCAGGGCCTAGAGTGGACCTCAGCAGTCCTACAGCAGAGGAGCCAGACTGTTAGAAGGAAAACTAAGAAACAGAAATAACTTCATCATCAACAAACAGAACGTCCACTCAGAGACCCAATCTGAAAGTCAGCAATCTGAAAGTCAGCAACTACAAAGACGACAGGAAGATAAATCCATAAAGATGGGAAGAAACCAGGGCAAAAAGGATGAAAACACCCAACACCAGAATACCTCTCCTCCTGCAAGGGATCACAACTCCTCACGAGCAAGGGAACAAGGTTGGATGGAGAACGAGTGTGATGAAATGACAGAATCAGATTTCAGAAGGTGGGAAGTAAGAAACTTCTGTGAACTAAAAGAACATGTTCTAACCCAATGCAAAGAAACTAAGAACCTTGAAAAAAGATTTGACGAAATGCTAACGAGAATGGACAAATTAGAAAGGAATATAAGTGAATTGATGGAGTTGAAAAACACAACACAAGAACTTCGCGAAGCATGCAGAAGTATCAGCAGCCGAACTGACCAAACAGAAGAAAGGATATCAGAGGTCGAAGATCAGCTCAATGAAATAAAACGAGAAGGCATGATTAGAGAAAAAAGGGTAAAAAGGAATGAACAAAGTCTCGAAGAAATGTGGGACTAGGTGAAAAGACCTAATCTACTTTTGATAGATGTACCTGAATGCGACGAAGAGAATGAATCCAAGCTGGAAAATACTCTTCAGGATATTATCCAGGAAAACTTCCCCAACCTAGCAAGGCAGGCCAATAGTCAAGTCCAGGAAATACAGAGAACACCACAAAGATATTCCTCACGAAGAGCAACCCCAAGGCACAAAATAGTCAGATTCACCAGGGTTGAAATGAAGGAGAAAATACTAAGGGCGGCCAGAGAGAAAGGTCAGGTTACCCACAAAGGGAAGCCCATCAGACTCACAGCGGATCTCTCAGCAGAAACCCTACAAGCCAGAAGAGAGTGGGGGCCAATATTCAATATCCTTAAAGAAAAGAACTTTCAACCCAGAATCTCCTATCCAGCCAAACTAAGCTTCATAAGTGAAGGAAAAATAAAATCCTTTGGGAACATGCAAGTACTCAGAGATTTCGTCACCACCAGGCCAGCTCTACAAGAGCTCCTGAAAGAGGCTCTACACATATAAAGGAACAACAAGTACCAGCTCAACTAAAGGGCAAAACAGCCAGCTAGCACCAAAATGGCAATATCAAATTCACACATAACAATATTAACCCTAAATGTAAATGGACTAAATGCCCCAATCAAAAGACGCAGACTGACAAATTGGATAAAAAGACAAAACACATCGGTGTGCTGTATCCAGGAAACCCATCTCACATGCAAGGATACACAAAGGCTCAAAATAAAGGGATGGAGGAAGATTTATCAAGAAAATGGAGAGCAAAAAAAAGCAGGAGTTGCAATTCTCATCTCTGATAAATTAGACTTTAAAGCAACAAAGATCATAAGAGACAAAGAGGGACATTACATAATGGTAAAAGGATCAATGCAACAAGAAGAGCTAACGATCCTAAATATTACGCACCCAATACAGGAGCACCCAGATACATAAGGCAAGTTCTTAATGACTTACAAAGGGACTTAGACTCCCACACAATAATAGTGGGAGA